TAACTACAACTCGAAAGGAGATGAGAAGGGATGCTTTCACCTGTTTTTGTTGGGGATGATGCCCCTCTCCACCTCCTGATGGTTCTTGCCAATGCGAATAGCCAGCCAGGAGCCTAATTTGCCGTTGTAGAGGGTGTCCACCACACGGAACACCTCGCCCTTGTTAAAGCTCAAACCATACGGCGATTCCTTCTCATACTCAAAGTGTGTCCGGATGTAGAAAGAGTCACCAACATCTGATTCCACAATCCGCCGGTATACTGAACAGTACAGAGCGTTAAGTCAGTATCAGCAAACCAATCAGCTTATTTGATAATTCTTAGTTCTCTTTTCACTTCCTTTACCATCTTTCTTCTTTTGGGCTAGAATGGTGACCTCTTCACCCTTAGGAAGGTCCAGGAGGAAGAGCACCGCCTCCTCTCGGATTATGTTTGCAAAGTCAACATTATTTACCTGGAATTTGGAAAAAAGCATGTTTCTGGTTTATGTTTTTTATGGTTTTCATACAAAAATGTTTTATTTTGGATTTTCAAGTTTAAGCAGAAGCTTTTATTGTTCAAGGAGCACATCTCAGAAAATGTAAATCTCCATTTAAACAGAGGTTCGCATAGCTTTTCCTGTTCTCTGAAATGCCTGGGTAACTGCAGGTTTTATTGCACTACAAGAAGTCAAGTCATTCCTCAATATACTCAGAGAATAGAGGAGGAGGAACAAACAGTGAGATATACGACTGTGAGGGAATGGGACAAACACAGCGAGAGGAAACGGTGTTTTTGTGTACGCTCCCTCAGGGCTATTGCTAAGAGACCAGCTTGAAGATAGAGGAATTTTGGAGCAGCCAGAGTATAACACCATGAATATTTAAGGGAATGTTTCAGAAACATTTCCCATAAAACACTACTGTTTACACGCACTATGATGTGCCCACTGTTAAAACAAAATGGCTTATCCCTTTTTTCCACTTTTCTCTCCAAACTTAAACAGCTCCCCTTTCTTGTTCATCATATGTGTTGCAGTTTGTCTCACTTCACAATCAGCTTACGTTAAAAATAATCTTACCCTGAGAATTTGGTCGCCCTCCTCTAGGCCCTCCTTAGCGGCTGGACTATCTTCCAGCACTCCAGCTACGAAGATGCCCACGTCGTTCCCCCCAGCCAGCCGCAGACCCACACTCTCCCCCTTTTTGAACTTCACCAACTTCATGCTTGGCCTGAGAATAGAAACAATTGCCAAGTTCATTTCTTTTGATATGACTTAAATGTCAGCCAGATTTCTCTACAGAGATTTCAGTATTTTTGCTAATAACAAAAACAACAACAGTAAACATTCTCAGACACAACCACTGATCACTCCGCGTCCTGCTCATTCAACTTGGCAGCTAACCATTAATGGGGGTCCCATTGCCCTCGTTTTCAGCTACAAATCTTCATTACAGCACACTTCACAGCTCAAAATAATCCACAAGCCCTTTTAACTGTTCCCTTCAAGACCACCCTCCCTGTTGTATTTTCTCCCGACTGGCTGCACCTTGAAAACAAAACATGTGAACAGCAGGTGGGAGGGGCTGCTGTGCTCACAGTCAGACCTACACTTCTGAGATGACCACATTTAGGGTATCCTTTTTATCTGAGGCTAATGAGACCCAAGAGTAGAAAAAAAAACCTGCCACTGAGTGTTTAGAGCAGTCTGAAGCCTGCAGATACTGCGCTTTACAGATAAGACTGTGCATGGAAGCATTTTAAAACATTTTTCTGAATAACAGCTCTCCTGATGTAGTCAAAAGTACTTTTTTCCCCCGCTGTGTGTGTGTGTGTGTGTGTGTGAGTGTGTGTGTGTGTGTGTGTGTGTGTGTGTGTGTGTGTGTGTGTGTGAGTGAGTGAGTGAGAGTGAGTGAGTGTGAGAGAGAGAGCGAGAGAGAGTGTGTAGGATATTACTATATTGTAAACTTTACCGTAGGATGCTATCATCATGGGCAGTAGTTGGCACAGGAGCATCAGAAGGACTGACAGGCAGGTCTACATCTGGCTGTCCGGGCTGAGCATAGACTGGCTTGGGTTCTAAATACAAATGTGCAGAGATTCATGTTATTATGAGAGACAGATGATGAACACGTAACACTGGCTGTACATCATCATAAACAAAGGAATACCCTCATACAGACAGAAAATGAGTGAGAATAAGAACAAAAACAACAACAGTGTGCATATACATATAAGCAAAATATTATAACACACATTCTTGTGTGCACACACGCACACTCAAGGCACACAGTGTCCTGAGCTAGGAAGTCAAAGAGAGAGGCAGCAGACTGCTGGAGGCTGGGGAGGAACGTCAGGCTCGATCAGCTCATATGGTTTATTTTCACTTGGCTCCAGGCTGACTCAGCCAGGCTCGGCAGGCGTCTGGATCTAACTTTTTAAAAGCGCAACAACCAAAAAAGGGCAAAAATAACTGTTTCGAATAAGAGTTCATTAATTCATGTAAATTTTCTGCTGCAAACGACAGACAGGGCCATTACACACCGTTTCTCAAGATTCACACTGATTTACAAATGACCATTCTTAGACATACAAACCAACATGTAATTTTCTGGCTGACTGATTTACATCTGACCTGGGAGGGGTGGGAGCTGTTTCTCCTCTCTGCCTCCTGACTCCTTCGGTTTGGGCAGAGGTACCTCCTCCGCTAGCTTCGCTGGTGTTGAAGCCGGCTTTGAGGCCCGTTCATCGTCACGACTTCTGTGACTAAAGATGCAAAAAGATGTTTTTGTATAACCTCTCTTTAGAACATGAGGCACGAGATCATGAATAATGCATTCTGCAGATGTAGTGCTGCAAGGCAACATGAAACTGTCTCTTAAACAGAACATGCATTTGCTAAGAATAGCTTCTTTCTACGCCTGCATCTTAGTGTTGAAGGTCATCACTTTGTCTTTCCAGTCTTTCGTGCTCTATTTTTAGAGCAGCTTATCCAAGGTGTCAGAGTGGGTTCTGTCCTCCAGGTGAATTTCACTGTGAGGCTCTGGCTTTAGACCAGCTTACTTTGACTTCCTTTAAAAAGAAAAACTGCGTAAACTACTGTATAAACTAATATACAGTGACATATGATGTCCAAATTTACATGCATTTTGACAAACAGAAACTTCAGATGCTGATTGTGATTTCTTAGCAAGTGATAGGAACAGGAGGGATAAAGACAGGCTTCCCAGTGGCATAGATCTGTGGCTCTCCTGGTCACATGGCTAACTTTTTGGGAAGAGAGCTGCTTTGTTCACAGACTGTGTGACAAAGTAACTACAAAGGATCCTGCTTGAACTGGCTGGACAGGAACAAACTTCTTTTCATCCCAGGCTGCACTTAACTGCCAACTTCACGAGCTGAGAGAAAGGGTTCCAGATCACTGATCAGGTTCAAACAAACAAATCAAATAACATCCTGTCACAAGAACTCCTTCCTGTTAACTAAAATACACAAGGTAGTGTGCCCGTGCCACTGTTTAGAACATTATAGAGATTTTCGCTTTTTGTATATTAAAAATGACAAGAAATGATGAGCCTAATAGGAAAAAATAGAGAGCGACTTAAAACAGGCAGCTAGAGATGGCCTTTTATTACTGTGTGTCACGATTTCCTTTGTGGTGAACATGCAGGTTTGTCCACCAAAACATTGAAAAGAAGAAGATCCAGTGACACATTCAAATGATTCTCTCATCTTGAGAAGAAATGTCTCTAAATAATTGATGTCTGATATCAACAGCAACATCCATCAGTTAATAATTTGCTGTTACACAAAAGACCGATCTTCAACACACAAATTCATCACTTCTTTTAGACTGAGGGCTGTGAATATACAGTCGTTTGTCAAAGTCCCAACAACTCTACTGAACTACATTAAATCGAATAATTCGTTTATTAAATCCTCAATATTCAAATAGGGGAATGGCACCAAACGTATGGATTTCTCCAGCTGCTGAAGTATAACAGGAATAACCAAGTGCAGAAAAATCCCATTCAGCAACAGCTTTGAATTATGGCACCATGTTTAAGAGTTAAGAGCAGTGAGCTTCTACGCTCAGCAGAGCAGACTCTTGATCTGCTTTCAACCGTAATTTTGACCAAGACCGACTCTTTTGCGGCTTAACAGCTGACTTTTATTTTTTCTCAGGTCAGTGAGCAGAGTGAAAGGGAAACAACTGTGGTGCTCTATTGAGTTTAAATGAAGAATTAATGAGGTACTTTCAAACAACGTTAGAGTCAAAAGAAGTGGTGAATGGAGTAATGGTTGGTGCTAACACACACTACCTTTCATGAGAAAAACAGAAAAGAGGAAGGGAAAAAAGCTTGTTTTAAAGCATGGAAGCAAATATCATCAGTTGTGGTTACTTAAAAGATGTTAAAGTCTTACTAAGTGGTTGCATATAACTTATTTTAATTTCACTCATTTGCAAATTACTGTCTTAATTAATCAACAACAGTCTAAAAACCAGTAGAGAAATTATGCTTAGGACAACCCAGTATCAAAGTGGTTATATCCTTGCATTCTCCTGCATTTCCAGTCTGTCGCTACCAAAAAAAAACAAAACTACAAACACACAGATCAATTATTACATTAATCATAAATTAACCCTAAACCTGAGAGCTCAGACTTCTCCAAATACACTAAGGGACTTTTTTTCTTTTAAATTTACCACTAAGCAAAGCGCCCAATAATATGGTTTTGTACTCCACCCACATTTTGGTGATCAATGGTGCTGTTCAAGTTTAAATTGGTATTGTTCTAAACTTCATTCCATCAAACACAGAAAGTTGTGAAGAGAAGAAAAACAGAATATATACATACAAAAATAACAATGTTTCTTGCAACTATATCCCACGATTTTATTCATTTCCTGAAAGCCGGGTTGATGTTCTTTACCTGCCATTGCTGATTTGTGGAGGTGAATGTCGGGAGTGGTCTGAGGGTTCAGATCGTCTATCTGGAGAGCGGGAGCGGCTGCTACGATGTCTGTCATGTGATCGATTGGAATGGTCGGATGCCAGAGAATGGATATCTGAAATGTCTGGTTAAACATAAAGATACTGTTAAACGGCCGCAGCCTCAAAGTTGCCCTGACAAGTCTGACTTTCTTCGTATCCACTCATTTGAGTTGAATTCACATCACTCTCACCATCTCTGTCAGAAGCGTTGGCTGAGGGAATACTGTCATCGAGGTCAGGGATGTTCAGCAGGGTCGCTCTCTCATCCCTCTGAACCACCATTTTTAGCTTGCCCTTTGACCTTTCTATCAGCTTCTTGGCATCAATCAAAGAGAGGTTCTCTGTCACGGTGCCATTAATCTGAAAGAATCAGCAAAACAAGCCATCAGAAATGACATGAAGTAAACATTCGTACACAGCCACAGAACTTGAATGAAAAGAGAAACATTACAAAAGGTGACATGTCTGGGGTTATTATCTTAATGGTATGAGACCACATTAATGTTCCTCCCCATAACCAGTCTATGCATTAAAAGAAAGGATCAAGATGTGCATGTTGCTAAATGTGACGGTGTCCTTCTACACAGCATGTTCCCAAAACATTAATACAATGAGACAAAGTAGTACATACTGCACATCCTTCTATCTGAATCAGGTTAGATTATATAAAGAACATGATCAAACATTTTCAGTTTATCTTCTATGCTTCCAGTGATTCTTTGCTTTTCCCCTCTCACCTTCAGTACAACATCCCCCTCCTGGATGTTGCCATCCCTGGCTGCCAGGCTCTCAGGGGAAATGTCCTTGACAAAGATGTGGCTGGCCAGGCGCAGGCCATATTCTGCTTACAAAGTGAACGACAGCAACAAAGACAACGTTAGCACAGAGTTCACGTAACAACACCACGCTGACTGCGATTCTGCTGACATCTGCTTCTCCCACTGGGATTAACAGTACTGATTAAAGAAGATTAATTGCTCTTTTACTTAGATTTACTTGAGTTTACTTGGATTTTGCTGTGGCTGGCAAGTTTTGTTTGCTCTGGCAGTTAACCAATGCTGATTTGGAGGCTTTATTCTCTTCTAAAAGAGAATATGGTTGTCTGTTAATAGTCATGTAAAGCAAATGGCAGGAGATTCCCTGCTTCACTATCCACTGTTCTGACTCCCTTTTTATCCCCGACTTTGTGAGCCTCACCTTCATTTTTGCGGGATTTCACGAGAGTGACCTTGGCGGGCCGTGGGGGCAGGTTGTGCGAGCGGCGGTCTGAGCGTGGGGAGAGACTTCTTTCCCGTGAGCCGCTGCGTTCACGTTCCCTGTCCCTGCGACCGCCGCTCCGCCCACTGCGCCTGCCCATAGCGCCGCCCACACCGCTGTACGCGCCACTGCGTCCACTTCTCGTTTCATATATCTCTTCGTCGTAGCTATCCTCCTCCTCGTCATGCTCTGACATAGTCTCCCTCTCTCCCAGGCGGCCCATGGGGACGTGCACCTTCCTCTTGCGCCTGATTGTCTAAACAAAGGGAATAAGACATGAAATGAGCTTGACAACCAACATGAGCCAGGCAATCCCCTTATCATGCACATTTCTTCTGCTAGTGAACTACAAAAACATATGAGAGAGCCCAAATAACATTATTAGCAATATACATATCTCTGCTACAAACACTTTAAGTCTGACTACAAAATGAGCTTTCCAAGAAGACTTCATAATGGGATGTGACACTCACAATTTTGGCGAGCTTCCCACTTTTACGAAGCTGCTGAACAGCGTACGCGTGCTCCACATTATCCATGGAGACAGCGTTGACCATAACGACTCTGTCATTTTCCCTAAAGAAATGAGATACCAAGAACAGACAGACAGTGGAGTCTTTATGGAGCAGGCAGTGTAATTTAATACTAAAAAATGAGCTGCATGACTGGGTTCCCGATAATACAACTAAATCTTACTGCAGTAGGCCTTCTGCGGGGCCTCCTTTCAGCACATCTGAGATGACAATGGAGGTCTCACCACTCTGAAAATGAGGGTTATCCCGTCCACCTGAAATGGCTATCCCAAAGCCAAACCCTGGTGCCTGCACACAGAAATAAAAACAAAACACAAAAAAGATAAGGATGTGTGGATGGACCAAGACACTAACTGATGAACAGAGACAGATGTATTTAAATGACCACCTCCTGGTACGAATCCAACAAAATAATTGTTTGTAAAACCACCTCTACAGAATACAGCAGTCGAACACTTTGAAGCGATGCAGTTTGCGTGCAAACAATGTGCACAAAGATGCCAGATCAGCATTTGTGCAATTTATGCTCCACAGCCAAAAACATGGAATCGTGTAGAAGAAAAGCTTTGTGTCTGTTCCACGTGCAATTAATTACACAGTGAGCTAACTCCCTACATGCTGTGATCCTGAAAATAGCAGGGAAGAAAAATGCTGAGATGGGAGATAGAGGGAAAATAACGTAAACTAGGTAGGGCAGAGAGCGTTTAGGATAGGGCATAATTTCAACATAGACAATTATAGAGAGTAAAGGAAGGATAACAGATACCCACCCTGTGTAGTGTTACTGTGTGCTGTTCCCAAATGACTGTCTCCTCCATTGCTGCACTCTGAAAGGCAAAAAAAATTGCGCAGTGCTTAACACACAAGCTCCAGAGTTCAGACAAGAAGAGTCAAAATAATTCATTATTCCAACTGATAAAAGGTGGAAGAGTGGCTCCCAAAATACATCTGACAGTGTCTCCTTCAGTGTTTAACCTTTAACAAAGTCTGCATAAAAGGTCCAATGTGTTGTTTTTTAATGAACAGAGTAGGCGTTATCTGTCCAAGCTAAATGTCTGCATAATGTGTAGAGTAGCATTTACCACTTTTGCAGCAAAAGCTACTTATACTGAGATACTGAAAAAAATAGAGGGTAAGGGTTTGGACTACTGCTGCTTTATGAACATCAGCCACTTGGGCAATCTAGGCTACATTTCATTATTCATATTGTATTATTCATACTGCAAATAAAGGATGTAAAGATTATAAACAGCAAATCGACTGTGAAAGTACACTGAGAGACTTTAGTAAAAAAAATTAAAAAGATAAACAGAATATTTGAATACACAATAATAGCACTGATTATTTTTTGTCCTCTACCAAGGTTCCTAGTGGAAGGGGAAGTGTTTCACCACTAAAAATTAAGACAGGGTACACATCAGGACGCTTGTTTGTTTCACACTGTTGCTGATTCACAGTGATACAGATGACACAACAGAGCACAGCAAATAGCCCAGGCACACACCATAAACATGTTGGTTTTTAGACTAGACAGTCTTCTTTGTAGTGGGTCCACAGTATGAGGTCCCAAGTTTACAGTGAACTGAGTACAATAGCACAACAGACAAAGATCCTCCTTCATTAAATAGGGCCACACTGGCAGTAAGTCTCTAAAATTGAAGGACAACCTCAGCCCCATTAACAACCACAGAGGATAAGATTAAGGTCACCTCAGTCAGCTGCTGGGTTAACGCCATCCTCTGCGACCTACAGCCCGCTTCTTATCTCTGGCTCTGTATCATTTTACCTCCACTGCAATCTCACAACACATTAGACATTCAAGGACTGCATATAAAATACTACGAGGTCATTCCCATTGGGGCAAATTACAACCACCATCACAGCACTTAATGCAATAACCCCCATCTGTCATGCAAAATGATCCTAGCCTTGTGATCTTAATAGGTAAGACTGCCACACATATCCCCTTCTGCTTTGCTGGTTATTTCTTTGACACCTCGAACGCTTACAGTATTAACCACCTATGCAGAAATCTCATGTTGCGGTACATTAAAATGTGATGAAAAATGAGCAAAGGGAGATTACTCTTCACGCTGAAAAGGAGCATCGGTTCCAGTGCTTAGACCTGCCACTGAGACTGCTGTCGACGTGTTGGCAGCTTCAAACGCAAAACATCTAGCAAGAGTCAGTCCAGTTTCACACTGAAAGCCATTTTGCAGCACATCAGTATGACAACTTGATAATGGAAGTGCTATTAAGCCACAAAGAGCGATAAACAGCTAAAAACCTTCGATGGTCTGCAGGCCAAATACTGAACTACAGACCACTATGAAATCTCATATAGGGAATAGGGATATTCAGTTAATCATTTTTAATCAGTAAAGCTACCTGTCCTTAATGGCATCCATCAATTATGAAAACAAGATAACCCATCCCATTACTTTTACCCCCAAATTCATCCCCCGTCAGAGTGTGGCAACAAAAATATAAGGTACTAAGGGATTGTGAGCCCAAGGACGCACAATTTAATCAACCTTACACAGTAGTTAAGATTCAGGGACACCCTTTTTTAAACTATTAAAATGTATTTTGCAATATTGCACAGTTTTAAGTCATCACCAAAATGTGTGTGATGAGAAACACTAAAAACACACCCAGAGATTCTGAAGCAGAAGCAAATGTCTGAACAAAAAAGTAACTCAGATGTGAAGAAAACAATGTCCAACTTTTTTTTGTACAGCAGAAATCATATTCAGAGGCAGCAGCTTAGCTGACCAACTGCTGCTGTGCCGTTTATTGTTTTAGCACCCTGGCCTCCTTCAACACATCATCCTTATGTCTGCCGCGACCTGTCGGCCAAATGCCAAAGATTAGCTGGCGTCTGGGAATATAGGCAGCTAAATAAAATGCCACAAGTGGCCCCAGACGTGCTCAGCTTGGCAGCAACAGTCACAAACTCCTCAAGCAGCTTATAGTGGGGCTCACACAAGGAGGGTGAACCAAAGTTTGAACAGGGCAACTCCCCCTGGCCTTTCACACTGAATTATCTGCTCTTGAGAAAGGGTGGGGTGGGGGGCATCTGAATATAAACAAGTCTGGTGAAAGCAGAGGAATGATCTCCCGCGAGAAAGTTTGCTCTTTCAGGGAGGAGGATTTATGCCCCAGTCTTCTTGATCAGCACTGTGCAAATGCTGACGCCAAGAGCTCAAACATTTTGCCTAAATTTATAGAGACTTGCTTCTAACTGATAAATTTGGGGGGGGGGGTGTTTCCAGTTGATAGTCAGACTTTCAAAACTCCTTTATAAGCATTTATGCAGCATAACACAAACACGTACGCCCACAAACGTATAATGTTTTAGAGTGGGTAGCAAGAGATGTCAATTTAGTTGTCTGGAAAACATGTTTAGAGGACGCTTCTTAAGCGCCACTGAATACAAATAAATCACTGAAAAATTGCAATGGGGCAAAACAAAAGGACCGAATACCAAGGGAAAAAGACGAAAAACAATCTCTCTCTCTCTCTATCACATGCACACACCTTTCACTGTGAAGGGATATAATTTTGCTACCTCCTGCTCCTGCAGAGCTTGTTGCTCTGGTAACAGAGGGGGGACTGTGTGGCTTTCTAGTGGCCTTTCAGGACAGGTCTGAAGGTTCCTCTAAACTGTAGAAGGTAAATTTAAAAAAAAAAGGAAATAAAGACAGGGCCAAATCAATTCATAAAGTTCATAAAGTTTTGTGGCTCAAATCAGCACTACTATTTTTTTGCCATAAGATCTAAACAGTGAACTAGTGACTTTATATTTGTCAAAAACAAATATGTTCATTTCCTGTTCCAAAAATGTCCAAAACATTTCTTTTAAGTAAACACAAAGTAAGGTATGTTGTTTTCAGTGAAATGAGCATAGGTTGCTGTAAAGTTGCACCAACATCCCGTGACTGATGACTTTCAGTGCCATAATGTGTACACCCTTTACAGCCACAATTTGGTGCCAAGAGAGGCTTCATGCCTCAAGCTAAAGCCAGGCCTGGCAGCCGCTCCACAGTGAGACACACCATGTTGGTTGGGTCATGCTTGGGGGATTACAACTAGGCAACATGGGAGCCAGCACTACAACACAGATGGACTTTAATGCAGATGGAGAACGGAGAGGAAAGCTCTGCTCAAAGAGGACTGTGTCAAATCAATGCACAAATGGTAAAACAACGTAATCATCAATGAGCCCACTGGGCTTTTTATTCCTCTGCAGAACAAACTATTATAGCATGTCCATAAAATACTGCTCTGCCAGCAGTCGTTCAAGCTTTTAATTTCCACTTGTAAATCAATTACAGAATGCTACTAACAATTATTGTCATTACTGATCATAGCTCATCTTCCTGATTACTCCTTCAGCTGCTCTATAAACCAAAAACCGTGACCAACCTAGTTTCCAAACAAACAGATGACGTTCAGATTTAAGAAGCTAAATCTAGCTTTCTTGCTCAAAATGTATTTTTAAAAAGGCACATGTGTATTTTGCAAGTTGAGGGGCAAATGGCTTCTTGTTACAGGTACTATCTGTATGCCAGTGGCAATAAAACTGAGCAATAACAAACTTACATATACTTGTGTGCCCCGGAGGTCCTCTCTGAAGTCAGCGAAACAGTAAATTTTGTCTACTTGGCAAATACTAGCAGACAGTTTGGCAGGGAGCTGTGACAATTCTTGTCACTTTCAAATAAAGGGCCTGCAACTAATCAAATGTGCAGCTACAAACCTGACTTGCAATGATTATGAAAACAATATAATTAACATAAAAATAAAAATAGTGCTCTAGTTTTGTTTTGCGTCACTGAATCGAGCAGACCCCTCTCCTTTTACAGCGGTGACCTTCAACCCTCCCCTAAAAGCAAAAACCTCCCTCCCTGCCAGGCTGTAGCAGGTTTGGTTAAGCTTGAGCCAAGATAACAAAGAGAGAGCCTGAAGGAAAACTAAAGAGGTAAACCAAATGGATACACTTTTTGTTTTAAAGAGTTCAGCAAAACACACGATAAGCCTAACTATGTTCTCTAAATTGTTTCAAACAATCAGGATGATAATATTTATTTTACCATAATCAAACAGCCCTGCTTAAAAAAACGCAACTCTCTGCGTAAAAAAAGCAAACGATATTTTGTTATAACTGAGGCAACATTGTGCGATTTTGTGCTGAAGTATGGTTTAGGGGTGAGGCAGAGACTTATTCAATTCTGACCGCTCTGGGACCAGAGTAGCTAAAAATAGCTCTCATTAATTCTACTGTTGTGGTGCTGCAACAGAGTGATTTAGGGGGGAACCTTGCAGCATGAACACTGAGGAACATTTAATAGGTTCTTGTTGTAGTAAATGCCACAAATCGACCAAAACAAATGATAAAATACTGCAAAGAAAATACATCCACTCTCTCTTTGTACTGCCTATTTATTGTGTTTCTTTGTAAGGTCTGAGGGAAAAAAAAGAGACTTTGATCGTTCTCACAAATCTGTTTCAGTGCCAGTGTGATGAAAATGTGACTATTCATATTTCAAGAGTAGTAATGAGTCGAAACGAATAATATATGATAATTAAAGGTTTACAGGTGGCTGAAAGCAATAATTCACAATTATTTTTGTTCACATGCATCAGCACATGATTAGCAGCAATAAAGCCAAATGAAGCCAAGTCTGCTGCAAGCTTAAATATTCAATCCTAGCAATAAACATACTGCTGAGTTAAAACAATTCTTTCCCTTTTGCTTCTCTCCAAGACAGTTTTCAAATTACACTGCAGCCAAAGACAAGAAAACAACAACATGAATACACAA